GCAGCAGTATACAGTTTTTCTCCCAAATACACAAAACAATACATTTAACACTAGAGAACTGTAAACATGTTTTACAAGTGGGATGCAGATGAAAAAAAAAGATACATGTTCAAAAATACAATTTATTATTCTTTTTATTATTTTACTTTTTTTTTTTTTCAGTCGTCAACATTGCTGCTTGATAACAAACACAAGAAAGTACAACAGAGACAAAGACCATAAATGGAGTTCGGATGCGCTGCGGTGGGGATTCAGGGGGGTTTCAGGAGTGCAGCTGTCATGACCAGATTATCAAGCCCCCCTGGCCGCCCGTCCCACCAGTTATAACGCAATGTTACCACTCTAGCTAATGGAAATAGTATCAAACTGTGATGCCTGAAAAAAAGATTTCTTGTCACATTTTCAGTATAAATGTAAAAATTTATGCAGATATGCATGTGCACATTCAATAAGGGTCTACATGTCACGCTCATGCAAAAGATTGTGTGCAAATGTGTAAAGAGAAGCGTGTTTGGTTTTGGGATACTGTATATGAATAATGTACTTACTCGTGGATTAACATGATATGAGCGGACAAGGGATAGCACTAAATAAGTTTTCGGCTCCTTCTTACTCCCGTCGAACCATGCGTGGTGCGACATCGGGGCCAGGGGGTGCCATAGCCGCCATCAAACATATGGCATACCCAAAGAACCAGTCTGTGGTGTGTGATACTGACTGCACATTTGGCCTTTTATTGTGGGCAGCCAAAGGTACATCTGCGCAGTAAATGTGTTACACCGCACATTTTAAGCCTGTATCCTACTGAGGGGCGAAAGTTTGCGAGTGTTGTCAAAGGTAGCGATTGAGAGTTCCCATCAGGGTACGTTCAAGGTCACAAACATTGGCCAAAATTTCTTCAGACGTTCGTTAATAGTTTTAATATTTTATCCCAAGCAAATTTGGAACATGTACAAAATCCCCTTGTGACAGGAAAAGAATGAGCAGACATTTGGCGAACATTTGGCGAACATTTGGAGAACGGTTGGCCCACCATTGTGACCTTGAACGAACACTGACGAGAACGCAAAAACATTATTTGATTCCATCCAGAATCTGACAGCATCATTCGCTACCTTCGCAAATGTTTGCCTCTTAGTGTGATAAGCTGGTAGCCTAACAAACACGCGTGCAATAATCATGTTGTCTAATCAACATCTTGACTATGTCACACCTTGGAGGTGGATGGATTATCTCAGCAAAGAAATACTCGCAAAGGTTTAGCCAGATTTCTGAACAATAGTTGAGAGAAAATCCAGTAGGCCTTTTGTGAACAAGTTTTAGATCTTTGAGTTCAGCTCGTGAAAAGTGGGAGCAAAAACAATTGTTGCTTTTATATATATTTTTTCAGTATATATTTACCCGCCCCCCAGCATTTAATTCAAGACAGACAGATAAATGATTTTTTTTTGTTTGTTTTTGTTTGTTTAATTCAGAAACTGAGCACTAAAGATTTGAAAGCTGAGGGACTGTGAAACGGTGGCTGCGACAACAATGAGCAGACTGCTCCTGTGGTTGTTCTGTTTTTTTCGCCCGCCGGGACGTCGACCTTTTCAGAATGGTCCTAAAACTTAACTCACTCGGTTTCATGAGAATTAGCGATGCTTCATCGGTGCGTCCAATATAAATACGAAAACATGCGAGTATGGTGCAAGTTTACGCAGACTGTGTTTGTTTATTTTAATGGAAATCAGAAGTTCTGACTAATTTATGATGAAATTAAGCTTATCCAATGGCTCACATCTTCTCTGTAATATTTCCTGAAAATTAAGTGAGGTGTGACTGTGTGTCAGAGTGAAAAATCCTCAATATCATCCGTGAGTCAAATCCACTCCAATGTTCCGTGAAGATATGTCAGAGATTTTGATGATGATTGTTTTGTTGCGTGACGGAAAAGGAGGCAAATGGAAATACTTTGTAGGTGACACATCTGCTGACAGTAGTAGTCCAGTCACTGCTCCGGCTCAGCGTTTTTCCCAAATGCTCTTTTACTATTCCTTCCATCCCTTACCTGAACCGCTTAGCCTCACGCTAACATGAAATGTATAGCGTGATTGGCACTTTTGTACCGATGGATGACAGAAGTAAGATTTACCCCGCAAGAAAATGTCTTCATAAATTCATATTATACCTTGAATACGAAAAGCGTTTTTATGCTGACGTTCATTTTAATGGCACACTTCCAAAGAATAGAAGGTCTCTTGATGTACTTGCCATGCCAAACTTAAAATCATCTACTTTAGTCGTTATTATATTTGTGCATGACTCTGTGTTGTTGTGTTGTGTTGTTTGCTTGTGTTTGCTTAGAGTTAAAAAAAAAAAATTAAATTAAATTCATCTCTTGTGTTGTTTGCTTAGAGCAGTGTTTCTTAACCCGGGTTCGATCGAACCCCAGGGGTTTGGTGAGTCGGTCTCAAGGGTTCAACAGAGCCTCTGCCATGCAGGCTGAGACACATGCAACTCAACATGTTAATTAGTTATGACATGCCCGCTTGGCCATCACTGGCTGCAGATGATCACATGACATTGCTTGTCCAATCAGTGCTGTGGGAAATTTAGTTCGCTGAGTAGTCAACATGTGACTGTCGTGATAGTACGTCATAGAATTTAAAAAAAAAAAAAAAAAGTATACTTATCTCCTGAAATTTTATTTACTTTCTTCTGTTTTTAATATGTGTTTTTTTTATATCTTCAATTATATGTACCGGTATTTATTTTTCACTCATGAAGGGTTCGGTGAATGTGCATATGAACTGGTGGGGTTCGGTACCTCTAAAAAGGTTAAGAACCATTGGCTTAGAGTATGTTCAGAGTTGTTTGCTGTTTTTTTTTTTTCTGTTTGCAGCGTACTGAATACATTTAATTTATGTTTTAATTAATGCAGTTAAATACAGTGAATCAGTCTGCCTCACAGTAAGATGGTTCTGTGTATGAATCTCGGCTTGGAACTTTTCTGTGCGTGTGTGTGTGTGTGTGTGTGTGTGTGTGTGTGTGTGTTCCCTGTGCTTGCGTGGGTGAGAACCTGTACTGTATGTTAGGTTTATTGAAAACTCTTAATTGCCCATAGGTGCGATTGTGAATGTGAGTGACGGTTTGTCGATATGCGCCCCGTGATTGACTGGCAATGCCTACACCACCGTTCACCCAATCAACCGTAAGGAGGAGAAACGATGATGAATGGGGGCCCTAGCAAATGGTATTTTTAATTTGCGCTATTAAATTGATGGAGCCCCAAGTAGTATTTTTTTCCGGGGAACCCAAGTAGTTGGCGGTGCACCTGTCAGTGACTCTGAAAAGGATCAATCACAGAACATTTTAGAATGAATGAATTAAATGTTTAATAGAAAAGTGAATTGGGAAAGCCTCGCTTACCAGCAATATTTGCTGCACCAGCTTCTCAAATGGCATGAACAAAGTAAAATATAAGGATATATTTACTAGGAACTCAAATGTGTACCATGCAAAAGCATGATCCATATTCCGATCCGCTTTATCCTCACAAGGGTCACGGGGCATGCTGGAGCCCATCCCAGCTGTCTTCGGGCAGTAGGCGAGGGACACCCTGAACCGGTTGCCAGCCAATCGCAGGGCACACATAGTTGAACAACCATCTGGATCACCTCGGGAGCGTTCCATTCGGCTGCCATGCATGTTTTTGGAATATGGGAGCAAATAAGAGTACCCAGAGAAAACCCATGCAGGCACTGGGAGAACATGCAAACTCCACAGAGGACCTCTGCACTGTGAGTCCGACGTGATAACCAGTCGCCACCCGTGCCGCCCATGATTGATACATACCAATAGAAATTTTGCAAGTGAATTATGATGAAAAGACCGATAACATACTTGATACTTTTACAACATTTTTTAATTTTTATTTATTTTTCTTCACAGACTTAAAACAAAAAAAGAAATGTAACCAAATTCACAATCCCCTACAATGAAAATGTGTTTTACTAAGCTGCAGTGCTTATTTTTGTCTCGGTGGCCCAAGGATACAATTATGCTTTGTCAGTCCCAAATAAATAAAGTGCTCGATGCACAACTGGATTTAAGTCAGTTAAGTCACAATCATTCATGTAATATAGTATAGAATATAGTAGAGAATAATTGCCGTTTCCAAATATACATTTGTTGTGTTATATATGTGAAATGTCAATGGAATTTGATATTTTAAATCATTAAAAAAACAAAACAAAACAACAAAACAATTATTTCCAAAAACTAGGAGGAAAAATCCAACCAATGGATCACAAGGCATTTTTCTAAAAGGTCTTCAAAATGCATACACGCTTACCGGATATTAACATCTACATCTCCACTAAAACTATTTTTAAACAAATGTAAACACTGCAGAGGGGCACTCTGAACAAGATTCATCAAATAAAAATGCAAAAGAATCCTTTTTAATTCCTCTGACATTTACTCCTTACTGGTAGTTGCCTCAGAAACTTTGAAACGTTTCTTTCACAATTCGGGACTGAAAATTGCTCAATTGTAAAGATAAGAGTGGGAACCAGGTAATATAAGGAACTCCATATAAAGGGAAAACAAGCCCTAAAAATAGGCTTTGTAATAGGATGGAGGAGAATAATATTTTTTTCCCATTCCTGATGCTGTCCTCAGAATACCAATCACCTTCCTGTATCATCCATCCGTCCATTATCTGATCTACTTATCCTCAAAAGAGTGCTCATGCTGGAGTCTATCCCAGCTGTCTTTGGGCAGTAGGCGGACATCCTGGACCGGTTGCCACCCAATCGCAGGGCACACAGAGACATACAACTATTTGCACTCACAATCACACCTAGGGACAATTTAGAGTATTTCATTCACCTGCCATTTATGTTTTTGGAATGGGGAGAAGAAATCAGAGCACCCGGAGAAAACCCACGCAGGCACGGGGAGAACATGCAAACTGTACACAACCTTCCCAGATCACTTCTCCTAAAGTTTATAAATGAAGCTTAAGTCGTTGTTTTGGAGGTGGAGGGGGGCAGTGGTGGGGCTCCTCTTTAACTACTCTTTTCTGTGACTATTTCTAACCCTGCAATGTAAATGTGTCTCTCTCTAGCCCTTTGGAGGTCAGAGGTCAAATGTCACAGTGCGCTATGTGTTTGCAGCTGCCAGCTTGATGCTTCTGCACCGATCACTTCCCTGCCAGAGATGCAACGTTTTTTGCACAGTATAATGACAGCCAAAAGATTGTTTGAATACTCTGCTGAGGTTCTGTAGGTAGGACCTGAACCTATGCGTGGGGGCGGGGGGCGTCGTTGCAATATGCGTTCTAGGACCACTGGCAGGAGCAATCGGTGGGCTCTTGAATGCTGTAGCTGACCCAGGTGGAGTTGCCACTGCAGTAGAGCTGCACAGAGCGCCGCTGCAGCCCCATCTCCCGACAACACTTGCAGAAACGAGCGTACGTGTTGATGTTGTAGTTGTAGATGCTGGCAGACGGACACTTGCCGTCACATGACACAATGTTGACCTACAGGACAGAAGCAACCACTAATGATTGTGTTTGGTACAGATGATACAGTAAAAATGTGAAGTAAACTTGACATTGAAACACAACTTCATAAAATGTTATAAAAGTATGAAAGTAATGATTGATTGATTCATACTTGTCAATACACTATGGCACTTCTTTGGCACATTTCCTAATTGAAAACTGTCTTTTATCCTTCAATGGTAACTAGTCTCGGTGGGGCATGGGGTGGTTTGCAATAGATTGTCGGATAATGTATTCTCGAAACAAGAACTAGAAATACTCTTTGAACATCAGTGTTATTTACTGGTAGCTGTGGTTTTGTAAATGTCCCTGTACAAACTACAGTAACAAACATCAATCACCACATTGTTAATCTCTTAATTTTCAGTCAACAACTAATACTATGCAGCTATGAGAACATCACATTTAAAACAAAGGTACAGATAGTAAACATTATCATACAGCATTTAGAAATGTTTCTTAAAAGTACAAATACGGCTCTACAACACTGCGTGGACATCAGGGACAGTGCCTCTAGATTGGTAGACCGGGGTAGTGGTCCCTCTTTGAAAGAAGGGGGACCTCAGCCTCCATTCTATTCAGGGGTGCTGAAGAGGAGGGTCGTCAGGAGGTCGAATCTCAGATTCAGGAGGAGCAATGTGGTTTTCGTCCTGGCCGCGGAACAGTGGACCAGCTCTACACGCTCAGCAGGTTCCTCGAATAGGCATGGGAGTTCGCCCAACCAGTCTTTAGGTGTTTTGTGGACTTGGAGAAAGCGGGGAGTTCTATAAAAGGCGCTTCGAGAGGATGGCGTACCGACCCCCCTGATAGGGGCTGTACAGTCCCTGTACCACCGATGTCAGTCTTTGGTCCCCATTGCCAGCAGTAAGTCGGCTTTGTTTCTCGGGAGAGATGGACTCTGCCAAGGCTGCCCTTTGTTACGGGTCCTGTTCCTAACTTTTATGGACAGAATTTCTAAGTGCAGCCGAGGCCTTGAGTGGGTCCGCTTTGGTGGCCTCAGTATTGCATCTCTGCTTTTCGCAGATGATGAGATCCTGTCCCAAGTGGATGAGATGAAGTATCTTGGAGTCTTCTTCACAAGTGAGGGTGGAATGGAGCGTGAGATCGACAGGCGGATCGGTGCAGCGTCTGCTGTGATGTGGACTCTGTATCGGTCTGTTAGGTAAAGAAGGAGCTGCGCCGAAAGGCAAAGCTGTCAATCTACTGGTCGATCTACGTTCCTACTCCCACGAAAGAACAAGATCCTGGATACAAGTTGCCGAAATGGCAAACTTCAGCAAGGCGTCCGGGCTCTCCCTTAGAGATTGGGCGAAATGCTCGATCATCCGGGAGGGACTCAGAATCAAGCCACTACTCCTCCACAGTGAGAGGAACCGGATGAGGTAGCTCAGGCCTCTGATTAGGATGCCTCCTGGACACCTCCTTGGTGAGGTCTTTCGGGCATGTCCCACTGGCAAGACGCCCCCGCGATGACCCAGGACATGCTAGAGAGACTGTCTCCTTGTTTGGCCTGGGAACGCCTCGGGATCCCCCGGGAAGAGCTGGTGAGAGGGAATTGTGGGCTTCCCTGCTAAAGCTGCTGTCTGTGCGACCCGAATCCCAGATAAGGGGTAGGAAATGGTTTGGTATGGTAGAAGTAAAGGTAGGAGTGGTAGTGGTAGTAGTGGTAGTGGTGGTGGTAGGAGTCGTAGTAGTAGAAGTAGTAGTAGTAGTAGTAGTAGTAGTAGTAGTAGTTGTAGATGTAGTGGTTGTGGCAATGGTATTAAAACAAAAACTCTCATCTCACGATGCGGGTGAGTGAGTGAGTGAGTGAGTGAGTGAGAGAGACACAGGCATGAAACATACCGGTCTGTTACTGCGACAGTCATTCTTCCTGATAGTCATCCTCACTGTCACCTTCTGACATGACTTGCCATCTTCTTTGCCTGTTCAAACATAGACAGACCAAACCAAACCCAATTGGCACAAACACAACATACACAGCACCCTTGCCTGTGACTCAGCAATCACCTTGAGGAAGGGGTGCTTGAAAAAGAGAGGAGGAAGAAGAGCACACTGATGTTCACAATCATGCAAAAGCTGCAGGATTGAACGATTTCGATGAGGAAGGACATTTTTAAAATGAACGAGCAAGACCATAACAACACTTGCTTCGTGCTTAAGGTAAAATGAAAATTAGAAAATTAAATCAGTGGTACATACCAATAAATTTAAGATTGTGTGTTTTAGTAAATAGGAAGAGCGTATATGCTGCATATGCATGACTTTCGTATTCACTGTTTGCGCTTTGCTTCCACATACATTGATGGTCAACATCTGTCATGGTTACCCAGGAATGTTTTGGGGGAAGGGAGGGTGATTTAAATCGAGTATAATATGGCTGTTGAGATGTTAGTCCTGGACCCTGATGGCCTTGAGGATGTCACTTGTGCTATTTTTGATTAGCCTTTTCACTTTCAGTCACATGAACCACAGCAGAAAACATCGTGTAGCTATCAAAGGGCCAGTGACGGATAGAAGACTAATCGCACCGTCAATCTATTTAATTCTGTGACATAACCATGAAAGACAGACAAGCTTGCTTTGTTCCAACCACAGTCACAGCAGGTTAAAGTGCTTCAGTGATGATGCCAGAGCCACATTTGTCTCAGAGTGATGATATATGTACTCAATGTGTCTCGGACCTGCTGACCGCTCAATCTATTAAGAGACTGTAGTCATGTCTGTGATTTTCAAAAATTAAATCAAATAATTATTTGTATACCAATAAAACTAAAAAAATCAATACCTCTGGCAGTTTCAATGAAAATCTTGCCTTTTGCAGCTCTTTTTATTTTTTTATATTTTATATCTATCTATCTATCTATCTATCTATATATCTATATCTATATCTATATATATAGATATAGATATATATAGATAGATAGATAGATAGATAGATAGATATAAAATATAAAAAAATAAAAAGAGCTGCAAAAGGCAAGATTTTCATTGAAACTGCCAGAGGTATTGATTTTTTTAGTTTTATTGGTATACAAATAATTATTTGATTTAATTTTTGAAAATCACAGACATGACTACAGTCTCTTAATAGATTGAGCGGTCAGCAGGTCCGAGACACATTGAGTACATATATCATCACTCTGAGACAAATGTGGCTCTGGCATCATCACTGAAGCACTTTAACCTGCTGTGACTGTGGTTGGAACAAAGCAAGCTTGTCTGTCTTTCATGGTTATGTCACAGAATTAAATAGATTGACGGTGCGATTAGTCTTCTATCCGTCACTGGCCCTTTGATAGCTACACGATGTTTTCTGCTGTGGTTCATGTGACTGAAAGTGAAAAGGCTAATCAAAAATAGCACAAGTGACATCCTCAAGGCCATCAGGGTCCAGGACTAACATCTCAACAGCCATATTATACTCGATTTAAATCACCCTCCCTTCCCCCAAAACATTCCTGGGTAACCATGACAGATGTTGACCATCAATGTATGTGGAAGCAAAGCGCAAACAGTGAATACGAAAGTCATGCATATGCAGCATATACGCTCTTCCTATTTACTAAAACACACAATCTTAAATTTATTGGTATGTACCACTGATTTAATTTTCTAATTTTCATTTTACCTTAAGCACGAAGCAAGTGTTGTTATGGTCTTGCTCGTTCATTTTAAAAATGTCCTTCCTCATCGAAATCGTTCAATCCTGCAGCTTTTGCATGATTGTGAACATCAGTGTGCTCTTCTTCCTCCTCTCTTTTTCAAGCACCCCTTCCTCAAGGTGATTGCTGAGTCACAGGCAAGGGTGCTGTGTATGTTGTGTTTGTGCCAATTGGGTTTGGTTTGGTCTGTCTATGTTTGAACAGGCAAAGAAGATGGCAAGTCATGTCAGAAGGTGACAGTGAGGATGACTATCAGGAAGAATGACTGTCGCAGTAACAGACCGGTATGTTTCATGCCTGTGTCTCTCTCACTCACTCACTCACTCACTCACTCACCCGCATCGTGAGATGAGAGTTTTTGTTTTAATACCATTGCCACAACCACTACATCTACAACTACTACTACTACTACTACTACTACTACTACTACTTCTACTACTACGACTCCTACCACCACCACTACCACTACTACCACTACCACTCCTACCTTTACTTCTACCATACCAAACCATTTCCTACCCCTTATCTGGGATTCGGGTCGCACAGACAGCAGCTTTAGCAGGGAAGTATATCTATATATAGATATATAGATATCTATATATATATAGATATAAAATTGCCAAGGGCGGTTAAACGAAGGACACTTCTATTTTGTGTGAAAATATTTCATCCTTGTAGATCGGCTTTAAATAGAGCATCAGGCAGAATCAACTCTGTGAACTCCTCCTGTCAAGAGTTGGGCACAGTCAGGATTTGTGTTACGTGGGAGTCACAGGGACTTGAGCTCCCACAAGGTGACAGTCATGAAAGTCATCCATAGTGAGTGTCTTTTGGACAAATGCTTTACGATGATATTATTTGAATCTAAAAAGATGATTGTTCGTGCCAATGACATACATTGGTCAATTCAGTGTAATATTTAGATGACAATGCGTACTTTTAAATGTCTTTTTAAATGGGGTGCTTTGTCGCATCATATTTTTATTAGAAGTTTTATTTGCGTGTACCGGTTAGCACCAAACTGGAAATTGCCGCGTTGCAGTATAATAAAGGCTTGTTAAAATACATTCTACTCTATTGTAGTCTAAAGATGAGGTTATAACACAGGCATGAAACATCATGGTTGTTGATATAATCAACAATATCTGATATGATTTCAATTGCTGGGTTAAAAAGTGTGCTTGTTTTGTTGAATAGAACCATCAGGGCAGGTCTACATGTACATGTTGTCTGTGAGAAAGAGTGAATCCGGCTCTCGGAAGGCCATTGAACCTGGGTAGCACAATGTGTCACATAACAGCTTTAGTTTCCCAACAATTTGGTGGAAAAATGCAGCAGCAAGCCAACCGTCTACAGCACCTACTTGGGGAAAATGAGCACAAACCCACAACCCACATCACTATTTACTATTGAGGACATGCAGACATCTAAGGCCAACTACTGGGCCTCTACCAACAGCACATTGTTGGCAATCAACAATGCACTGCCCAGACAGTGCTAAATGTGGAGCGAATGTAGTTTTGTATACAGATGGGGAAGGCAGAACACACATATGTCCTGTACATGTTGCAGTCCTCTCATGTGTGACTTCTCTTTTTCGGTCTCTAAAAGGACCGCCACCTCATTTCGAGCAGCAAACCAAATATTCTGTAAGAAACCCATGCATACTCCATAGTCATGCTTTAATGTAAAACAAGGTAAATCGTGTGTTTATTGTTATAACATGCCTTAGCTGTAATGTATATTTTCATGAGAAATACAACAAACCCCCGTTTCTTCCTTTGCGCCTCAGCTGCATTACGGATTTTTAAGCAATTAAGCTTTCATGTGTTTTTCCAGCATAGAGGTAAATCCAAATCTAGAGGTGTGTGCTTTCTGTGTAAAACCATATTGTCAGATTGGCATAAAAGGTGCGCCGGTGCATGTGAGAACTGAAAATTGAATAATGCACTTCATTTGAAGTCCGTCTCACTACACATTGCACATTAAGTATTTTTGCTTGTTTTCAACCTTTTGTGACCCATGATTTTTTTTTTTTTTTTAACGATCTGGAACTCCACATGGTCCTGCCGAAACAAAGTTGTGTTCAGGTCCAAATGTGGACAATCCGGATTAGTTGGCAGCTGTGATTATATAGTTTTGTTGAACATTTTGGTGTTTAAATATACAAAGAGCTTGAAACGAGGTTTCATTTGAAAAACTACGTTTTCATGAAGATTTTGTTGAGCACGGGGGCGTGGAGAAAAAAAAGGTCTCTCTTAAAGGTGGATTTTCACCTATTGCGGATGATCTGGAAAAAAAATCATTCCTTGCGATGAACAGGGGTTAACTGTGCAGCAAATACTGTTCCGTTTTTTTGTTTGGTTGGGTTTTTTTTTTTGTGTGTGTTGCATGCAGTTTCTACTACAGTAAGTCTGAAATGAGATCACATTTGAGAGGACTGTCCTGCTTGGGACCCGGAGGTTGCAATCAAACGTTCGGTGTGTTATATCAGTAACATCATGGAGGGAGGGAGTACATTGTTGAATATCAACAATAGCACTGGTCATCCTAGTGTTTTTGGTACCTCGTTCACAGTTTGTGTTTACTGTGGGAGTCAGGGAGCTAAGAGGGAAAGGGAAGAGAGGGAATCCAGTACCTGGTGGGATTTGTACATGTTGATAAGCTGCAGCACATCAACCACTAAGCCACTTTCATGTTTTCAGGTGCTTTTCAGTGACGATTTAAAACAGCAGCCTGTTGCTTTCACTGAAAAGTTCACTGACAAAAGCACACTAACGTGAATACTCAGAAGACAATCGCGACGGCAAAACCAGAGACAATTTTGACCTTTGTGGCGGGGAATTTAAACAGCTCGGGAGAATATTGTGTTGGAGAAATTCTCGGCGACAGGCGAGTGACAGCTGCAGCCTATGATTCTACACTAACTACAGGACATTACAGCTGTGCTATGCTCACACCACAAACTCACATGTCTTGCAACATCCGTCCATGTAACTTACGACAGTTCCTCCAATCTGAGTGCAAAAAGAGAGCAAAAGTCATGAATCACCGCAACAATAACACAGTTGATCACTGATCACTGGTGTCATTTCAAGGGGTGGAATGTACTGTTGTTTAAAAAGGGTAACAATAGAAATCAGTTCATCCCACCATACCACTCATCCTCATTTGGGTCATGAGTGAGCGAGCAGGAGCCTCTCCCAGCTGAATTTGGGGGAGAGACAGGACACCCTGTGAATTGGTTGCCAGGTCATAAAAATAAAAATAATGATGGCAGTAATGACAATAATGATAAACTTTTTTTACCCTATACTCAAATGGACACAACCGACTGTTTCTGCGACGTGTGTGTGTGTGTGTGTGTGTGTGTGTGTGTGTGTGTGTGTGTGTGTGTGTGTGTGTGTGTGTGTGTGTGTGTGCGCGTACGTGTGTGTGTGTGTGCGTACGTGTGAGTGAGTGTGTTTGATAATGCTGACCTTGATACACTCTGTTTCATTGAAGGTGGGACAGCTGAAGGGGTAGGAGATCATTGTCGGGCCAGATCGAGTGTCTGTGCATTCAAACTTGAGGCAGTTGGACACCCATGATTTCCCTGGCTGGAAACATTTTGCTATCAACGACTAATGTATATTATAATACATGTATTGATTGTATTGACACTCATTGCCCACCTTATAGAGAACAGTCGACCCATTCTCATGAGTGTAGAGGCAGGATATATTCTTACAAACACCACAGCATGTTGACTGGTCTTTTGCAGGGCTGTAGATCTGATTCTACAACACACATCAACATTGAAGGTAATCTAACTTTATAGAAGGTCATATGGTGCAAGAAACAACAGTCTTTCTGATCGAATGTTTACTTGGAAAACTATTAACGCATTCGTTTTCCACTTCCAGAATGAGTTTCATTTAATTCTTGTCGAATATGTGTACAATGACAGAATGTCCTGCTAAATAATATATATTTCCCCAAAATACCCAGTCAATTGCATTAAACACCGGGCCTCATTTACAAATCAGAATTCCGGCTCCTAGACACAGAGGACCAAAAAATATTTTTGTAAAATACCAAGAAACAAAAAGGTTTTAAATGTTTTACTTTTAATTCATTGTGAGACAAGTGAGGATTTTCTGCATCAAAAAGGTTCCTGGTTCATATCTTACGAGCTGGCAGAGGGCAGAGCAGTTGGTGGTGCTGGTCCGCAGTACGTGATAACCACTTGACATGTCCATGACGCGGCTGCATTGTCGACTGTAACATAAACCGTCCTCGCGATGTTCCACCAGGGTCTGACCGGGCCGCAGCACCCCCTGTGCCACGCCCTGGTACACACACACTGCCTCTCGCACTGCACACACATCCACAGTTGCGGGGTTGACATACAGTGTGATTTGGAGACGAGCCAAAATGTTCATCAGTTTGAGACCAAATTTTTCAAGCCCCCCCCCCCACCCCCCCAAAAAAAACAAGCCAGTTCGCGATCCAGATTTTGGTGCACCTTAAGTTAAACTTCCTGTGAGACAATTCTCAGTTTGGGGGGGGGGGGTGGAGGGGTTAGGTTTTGACAATCTCTGAAATGGACCAGCCACTTGGGAAACTCACGAAATTCCTAAAGGCCACTTGAAACGATCACATACTTGAAACGATCGTTTCAAGTATGGTGTTCCACAGGGTATTTGAAACATTTTGAACCAATTTATAGCAACAATACTCACCACACTTGTATCTTTTGCAGCCACATTGATTCTGTGAGTCAGACAGCAAGGCCTGCTCCAGCTGAGAAACCTCTCCCTGCACAACACAATCAAAAGCACAGTTTACAAATTGAATAAACTGTGAGCATCTCTGTAAAATCATTTGCGCAGGGTGACAGAACAAAAAATATTGGCTTCTTTTTATTTTGTTATTTATAGTTTCTCATCAGCGTCTGAAAGAATTATTGTTCTGGAAATCCGATGCATGTACCTGTGCCTGTCACAACCCTCAACTCAGAGTAAAAGAACAAATGTGTCGAGACAGTTTCTTTGAAAAGGGGAACGGACCAAATAATGAGATGACATCAGCAGTCCTCCTTGCACCAAAAAAAAACCCCTCCACGTGATACGTGGCGAAAGGTTCCCAAAGGAGGCCTTAAAGCCATCAAAACTGCTTCAGCACATCGAGGCCAAGGGATTGACATTAATCCTGGCAAAGACAAGCCATGGGAGCTTTTTTGGGAGAAATTAAAATATACCTCGAGATGGGACCGGCTCATTTTGAAGAAACAAGCACAGGGCTCCTATTAATTACAGCAACTAAATCGAGGTTAATAGTGAGTTGTGTTTTGAATAATTTGCTTCCAAGTTTGTTGCATGTTTTTATACCATCCAACCATTTTAGGAACCGCTTATCCAATACGTCGAAAATAATTCTGAACCTGAAACTGGTCCGGCAAAATGCTTGGAGATCGCTGATGAAATATTATCAAAGGCGATATTTAAACAACTCGCTTATAGCTCATACCTTACGTAATAGATAGATATTAAAAAAAACAACAACAACTGAATTTAACAACTTGAACACACCATTTCACATTTAGGAGGCGTAATCTGGTCACAGGAACACACTGAAAACAGAAAACATAACATTAAGGGGTGGACATATTTAAAGGATCCAGCAATGCACAATAGTAAGAATCCTACTGTCAATGCAACGGATCATGATAATTTTAAGATAATATCATCTATTTTATATCTTGCATGTTGTACCGCATGTGTAGTTGGGACAGCAGTGATCTGAACTGGACACTGACACCAGTGACATCCCAAACGGGCAGCTGAGCTGAGGACACCTGGAGGGCTCACATACTACACACGAACACACACGCACACACGTACACGTGATTGTCATGGAGTCGGGACGTTCACACAATGATTTGCAAATCATGCTCAATGTATATTTAATCGAATACGCGACAAAAACAAGATATTTAATGGTCAAACTGGTACACTTTATGGTCTTGAAGCAAATAATCATGAACTTAGAATTTTATGGCTGTAACACGTTCCAAAAAAGCTGAGACAGGGTCATGATGTTTGCCACTGTGTTACGTCACCTTGTCTTTTAACAACATTCAGTAAAGGTTTGGGAACTGAGGACACTGATTGTTTAAGCTTTGTAGGTGGAATTCTTTCCCATTCTTGCTTGATGTACAGCTTTGTAGGAACAGCCGGTATTTGTTTTGATTTTTTTGTTTTTAATTGCTATTATCTAAGTATATTCTTATTTTATTTTCACCGTGATTATTCTCTTGTTTGCCCTTCCAAGTTATATTTAAAGTAGAGTGGACTTTTCCTTTCTCAGAATTCAAGAACACAAAGATCAAAGGACTTATTGTGTCGAACGAACACACATTTTTCCATGGCGTGGCACGAAATACAATCCCCGAGATCCCAGGTTAGCCCAGTAAGTCCCAAGTGTCGTGAAATAACATCATGAGGCTTATTCAAGGCTTCAGTTTGTGCAAAAATGCAAGACGTGTGGATGGCGGCCTCTAACCTCTGGTCATGTGTGCAGACAAACTCATAGGAGAGTCTCTGGGGCAAAGATGGACAAACGTGGATTATGGATAGTTTGAGTTTTACTTGCTTGCTTTACGCTTGCTGGAGAAAGTCATTTGCACACTTCAATCCAAATTCAAGTAGCATAGCAGTGGTGCGTTGAAATTATTGATCACTAGCCATATGTGTACATTTTCAATATTTGAAAGAATTGCGCAGTTACTGTCAAAAGTTAAAGTGTAAAAGGTGAAAGTAAAAAAAAAAAAAAAAAAGATGTGGTTTAGGTGCGGGAAATGTTTGTGTTTGTGTGAGCTGACCACATTGGTAGGTGGGGCAGCAGCGGTCCGCGGTGTCCCGGCTCACAGTCAGAACTTCCCCATCCCGACACAGTGGAGGCGTGTCCACACAAGATGAACAGACTACAGGAAACACATTCGCGCTGAATCACAATGTGCGACACAAAAATGATTGCAGCAGGAAACCTTCCTGCTGCGACACTAGTTTCTAAAATGAGATTTTAGAAACGGTCGATACTTACCGCAGATGTGAGTCAGGCAGCAGCTATCATCAGCTCTGGCTGCGATTAAGAACTGGTCACTTCGACAGGTGGGAATCTCTGCCTCGCAACTTGTGGGATCACACTCTGTAACCAACGTGCAATTTCGTTAATGTCGAGATAAAGGACTAACAATACACGTGTGGAAGTTTTGCAAGAACAAAACTGTTTTAATGCAGAATATAAATGTTGATGAAGTCAAGGCTTGTTTCAATTATGAAGCGGGCATTAAAAACATTCTCTTAGGATCAACAAGCAAGTGTCCTGCAGCAATGAGGCTTAACCATTTAATATACGTCACCGATAGCAAATAAAGTAAAAGAAGATGGAATCAGCACGTTCGTGTCAAAGACTTGTTCTGAAAATATGCATTTTGAAAAGCAGCACTAAAAATGTTCTGCAGAGCTAATAGTTGGTGTCGCTGTTCTGAGGCAAGACAGTGAACTCCATGACCCAAAGTTATATTGCGGCGTTCGGGATAAAAGAAGGACCCTGATAGGTAGTGTTGCCATTGTGATATCTTATCTGTATATATTCAGCTGTTACATCATTTGCTCAATGCAGACGTAGAAGTGAAATGTCTGCTTTTGAGGAATAAATTATTTGGGGGATTAATACGAGCAAAATACATCCCAGGAAGAGACCAGTAGAGAACCTCTGTTCTCCAGAATATTTTATTTTGAATAAACAATGCTCGTGCGATAAATTTAGTTGCTAACAAATGTTCGCACTGGTACCGGGACCAATAGACCTCCGTTAAGGCAGTCCTGTTGAGTTCTTTAATGAAGGACTTTGGGCTGGATGATGTGGCCTTATAATAGAATTTTCAGAAAAATACGATTTCTCATTTTACTAATTTTCTCCCCTTTGCTTATAGAAAACAACAAATAGCATTATTCAAAAACAGTTTTGCTTTTTATTTTTTTTTTGCCTTCTGGGATTTGCTTGATTTCAGACAAGCTTTGAAACAGTTTCGTTCTTAATTCAAGTTTTGTTTTGTTTTTTTGTGCATGAACTTGTATTAACTTGAACTTAAGAAATAATACACATTTTTTTTTCTGACTCTGCTTTACGAAACTAGCTCCTCTCTGTTCACAACCAAGTGGTTAAGGTCAGCAGCGCAAGTCAGTAGAGACATACTTTGAACTACGAAAGCTACTAAATATCTCAAATTAACTGATAAAATGGATTAATTGGCCAGAACTGGGCTTATCTTTGGTCAAGAGGTTGTCACTGTGTACTCACCACACACGTAATCTGGACAGCACGAGTCCTTTTGGTAGTATGACACCAGCTTCTCCCCATAGTTACAGACCGGAGGCAGGAGCTCACAATGAGTCAGATTACACACTGCAAAGTCAGATGACATCATCTTATCTTTTTAATAGATTGCTGATCTCCATGCTGCACTGGTGGGAGACACTCAAAAGCTCCTCTGCGGTCTTACCACAGACTTTTCGGGGGCAGCAATTGGTGTCATCCGCCAGGCTGACAACAACCTCCCCTGTTCGCTGGCACACAGGCGCCGTGGTGGTGGAACAGTTGTACTCCACAGGGATGACTGTGTCCTTGTCGCAGCGGTACATACAGCAGGAGTCCTTCGAGGCCTTCCACACTTCGCCGTGTGCACGTGGAACCTCAGAACTGTCAGTGCAGGCTACACAAACATCACAATTGACGACTCCAAGTGCTTATGTGCCATTTTTTCCCCAAACAGACCGATATTAGGGGCTCTTACCACACTTGCTGGAGGGTATGCAGAGGGCAGTGTATGGCCGATGGAGCAAAGTTCCTTCGGGGCAGGTACAGCCCTCGGTAAGGCCTGAGCAGTGGGCTGGTTCGAAATCAAAATCCTGGTTGGGACATGACTGAGACGTGCAGGCCGGCAGACAGGCTTGATAGCGCAGAGTTTCAGGGCACGTGAAGGCTACAGGAAGAGAGATGAGATCTGTTTACACAAAGGAAATGTACTGGACAGCGTTTCTGGGAATAAAAAGAGAAAATGCTACCTGTTTCAAGGGAATTCTGTTGATGCCCAAAAGGTCTTTATGCAGGGTTTTAACAGGTTAAGGCAGACAAATACTTTTTTTTTTTTTTTTTTTACAGCCGTATTGATCTAGTTTTTTTGAAGACCCATCATTGAGTAAATGTAAATGGTAAATGTGCTGTCACTTATAGAGAGCACTTTCTACCTTTGGTACTCAAAGGTCTTTACACTGTTTCTTCAGTTAGTTACTGATGACACAGCATCAGGACCAACTGGACATGCAGTTCCTTGCTCAAGTACACCGACAAGGTCACAAAGGCCGGGCATTGAACCCCCAACCTCTGGGTTGAGAGACAACCTCTACCACTCAGCCATGCTGCCTCAATATGACCACAAGAAACAGGCAGTGTGGGCTTGTAATTATTTCACAAGCCATCCATTATCCCTTATTCTCACATTTTAGGATTTGCATGGATTGCAGCTGGCAGATAGTACTGAAAGGAAATTAAATGCAGACATGGGGGGTTCGACTGTGGCTCGGGAGTTAAAGAGCGCTGTCCAGTGACTGAAGGGTTGGCTGTTCAAATCACGCTCTGTCTGAGTCATCTATCGTTGTATCTTTGAGCAAGACACTTCACCCACCTTGCCTGAGGAGTGTCAGTCACACTTAAATGTACTTTATAAGAATAATTAAGGCCTTCATTTTGGAAAACAGATTCCAGATTCTTTCAAAATCAGTGAATACCTGTTTATGTTATCTTTTTGATGACACAAATGCTTTGAAAATCCCAATTATGGTTGAAAAACGGTGAATGTGTTTCGAGGGTTCAATCTTACGACAGAAATCTGTTCTCCTCCACTCGATACAGACGTTGAATTTGTGGCAAGAGGCTACGTAGGCAGCCAGTGACACACACTGGTTGTTCACATACTCCACATCTCGGACCCAAACCTCACAAAAAGTACTTGGGGAGACCTAGAAAAAGAAAAACATGATTTCATTCAGCTTTGGTTAAAGATAATGTCCATCAACCTTTTGATCTCGATCATCATTTTGATCCAAGAAGGATCATACTCCCACCCCTCCCTTGAAGGTCCAGGTCCCTGGTGAATGTCTATCCCTTGTGGGCCACCACACAAACTGGCAATCGCTTGATTTCATAATGTGGTGAATCGTCCGACTGGTTAGTCCAATTTAGGCTGAGAAATCACAACAACATAGTAAATGACTTAATAAATGTGTAAACCTACATAGGCGTGGCATGGGAAGAAGGCCGGTTTCTGCAGCATGACCAGGCACCGGGAGCAGTCACTGGTGGAGCAGTTGAACTCTCTCCGCCGACTATGACTGACATAGCTGGTGGTATTGGGAACCTGCCAGCTGTCGATGAATGCCGATGGATCCTCATTCCTCCCCACAGCGGTGCCATTGGCCAGAGTCAGGTCATTACTTGGGTCTCCATCACAGAAACCTAAAGGGTAAGGTGGGAATAAATACAGTGCGTAATGACATCTTGAACACATTATGTCATCCATGTACTTAAGCGCTATATTCTACTGCCAAGGTTATGCATTTCAATGATTGATAACGAAGAGTTGTGATAACTACTCAACAATCATTCCCTTGATGAGAGAGTCTAAAATGAATTTGGTCTCATAAATTACTCAAAAGCAGATGGATTAGGGCAGGAATGCCCAATATGTCGAAAACGATTGATTGCTAGCGACGGATGTAGGGGGAAATGGAAAAAATAAATTGGGTGTCTCTGTGCATGTTACTAAAATTATTTATTTTTGTGCTAGTGCACACTGCACCCAAAGCATCCTGTCCATTTCAGTTTCGCACTAAAAGCAGGCCACCTTTAACCTACAGTGGCGCATGATCTGTATGTTTGCAACTGCAGCCTGTGATCAGAGCTGTTACGATAAATCATTCTTTTAAATCAATCTTTTTCCCCATAAATTCATGTGAATCCTCATGTCACGTGAGGCCTCGCCAGTGCACGAGAGAAGCATAGCAAAACAACATGGCGGAAGCACTGAAAACCAGTGCCAACAACCTTGAAGGCAGATGTCGGAGGTTTTTAGATTAAAAACAGCAAGGAACTGAAACTTTGTGAGACAGTCAGAGGAATGTGAATGTCCTGAGTTTACAGTGTGTTTTGGCCACTTGATTTACACAGCCAAACCGGTGGTTGGCATTAATTACTATTTATTATTTTGTTCATGTTCAATAAAACATATGATTAATGTAACTGCATTGGGTTCAATTCTTGTGTAAATATTTATATTTTATCCATCCATCCATCTATGTTCCGATCCACTTTATCCTCACAAAGGTCGCGGGCGGTGCTGGAGCCTATTCCAGCCATCTTCGGGCAGTAGGCGGGGGACACCCTGAACGCTCACACTCACACCTAGGGACAATTTTGAGTGTTCAGTCAGCCTTCCATGCATGTTTTTGGAATGTGGTAGGAAACCGGAGTCCTGGAGAAAACCCATGCAGGCCCGGGGAGAACATACAAACTCCACACAGGAAGGCCGGTGCCGGGATCGAACACACGACCTCTGCACTGTGAGGTCGACGCGCTAACCACTGGACCACTGGGCCACATTTGTATTTTACATGTTGTATATTATATTATTAATATTTCCAGATGAAAGTTAAATTTGGTAATGCGTGAAATCCTAAACTGAATTGAAAATCAAACAAAGTGAATCATAAGATCGCACATGGAATTGAATCATGTCCTGGTGAATCAAACCGATTTTTAGAAATCTGAGTCCATACCCCGCCTTATTCAACATTCTTTCACTTCAACCATTTACCTTCAGAGGGAAAGAAAAGTATTACTTGAGCTGACATTTATCCATTTTTGATTTGTCTTTGATCGTGATAATTATCCATAAAAACAAATAAAACAACTTTTAAATCGATTTTCTAGCTTTGAACTTTGATCTTGACATTGTATGGACATGGCAAAAAGAAATATCATGTTGCATACACTATTTAAAAATTGACTATTTAAGACAGTTCATACCACAAAGGCCCCTAGTGGGCAGCTTCTTGCTGGGGCTGTCACTGTCGATCACCATCATTCCAGTGCTGTGATACCACTGCAGCTGGAGACCAGCCGGGCTTCGGATCAGATACATGTTGCCCGTGTCGTAGATCTCAAAACCAAACTTTTTAAAACGAGGCCTGGCATACCGTGAGTTGACATTGAGCTGTGGGAAAAGTGTGCAATTTGTTCGGGTTAGTGACTGATTTCACACCGGAGCATTACTGCCCTCATGCGTAAGCTACTACATACAAAGCAAAGAACATGTTTGGTCCTACCCTCCTCTGGAGCCTGTCAATGACGATGTGGTTGGAATTGTGGGTGATGTTGAGTGCCACTAGACACAGGTTTGTAAAATTCCACCTAAGCTTTAAAAAGAACGTTCACATTTTAAAAAGTGGTTTACATTTAATTGACAGTAAAAGTATGAAAGTGGCTTACTGGCGACTCGGATGCATCAGGGCACTCCTGTATCAGAACACTGACTGTCTCATTGGGTAGCTTAGTGACTATGAACCAGGCAGCTTTATAGATGGCAACACTGTTTCCATCAAACGTGATCACATTCAAGTCTGGAAACACAGAGCAGCGACCTGGAATAGAAACAATCAAATAGTGACATAATGTTCTCTTTGAAGTGAAGGAATGGAATCTACAAATTAAATTACAATGACCTTTTGCGTACTTAACACTGGATTATATCTAAATCAGTGGTTCTTAACCTTATTAGAGGCACTGAACCCAACCAGTTCATATACACATTTACCAAACCCTTCATTACTGAAAAATAAAAATTCAAGAAGTGTCCCTTCAGTTTTGCCGGTACGAGACTGGAGTTGCTGAACTTGGCATGACAAATCATGCAGATAGGATGCTGAGTCCCATCCCGTTCCGTGATGCATGTGAATCCATGTGGTACATATTCGTCTGACCACTTTGGGGTTTTTTTTTGCTCAACATAGTTAGCATGCATTGAAACATTATTTTAAAAAAATCACACAATGTACTATCACGACAGTCACACGTTGACTACTGAGCGAACAAAATTTCTCACAGCACTGATTGGACAAGCGATGTAATGTGATCAACTGCAGCCAGTGATGGCTAAATGGGCGTGTCATAGCAAATTGACATGTTGAGTCGGGTGTGTCTTAACCTCCATGGCAGAAGCTCCGTCGAACCTCTAAGACCGATTCACTGAACCCCTGCGGTTCGATCGAACCCAGGTTAAGAACCACTGAGCTAAATCAATGATTTTTTTTGTGTATGTCTTACATGGACAGTCCCACTGGGGGCAACATTTGTCACCGTTGACCAGTATGGCAAAGCCAAGCAAGCCACAGTTGACCGGCTCGGAGGAGAAGGGGCAGCTTTGGGACTTGTTGAACAAGACGAGCTGGTTGTTGACACAGATGAACTTGGTGCACTCATCAACTATCTCTGCATACGGAGGCTGATTTGAAAGCGTCAAAATAGTTGAAACGTTAAAATCATGTAAAGTTTTTTCAATAGCTGTATAAATAATGTAATGTTTGATTTATTTTCAATGGTTGTTTCGGGCAGTTAAATCTATTATGACAATCTAATACAGTACCATGAAAATATAGTGAAACGGCAAATAAATGTGGATGATGTAAACTGAACCCACCGTGCACATCCTTGTGAATGATACAGCCATGGACGTTATGCTTTCTGAGGTGGACTTTGTTTTTTCCACTGGCGCAAAAGGTGTTGTTACACCAGGACTGGTGCGATTCATCCTATCCAGCACAGTTGTCTGGATCCTTCTGGTTACAGGGATGGACGTTATGCCAGGAATAAGAACACCAGGTTTCTGAGTCTGGACAGTTATATCAAGTGGTGGAGATGTCATTGGTTGGGTAGAGACTGGTGCCGCCTCAGATTCGAGGGTTGTCAGGCCGGAGATTGGTATGGTTGGCTCAGGCATGGGAAGTGGGGCCACTGTGGTGGGCATTGCGGTTATGGCTTCAGGAGGTGTTGCTTTTGGTGTGCTCACTGTGGTCAATGCTTCTGCTGGTGTGGTGGGTATAGTTAGAGATGGAACTCCAAATGCAGTTGTTGAGCTGGTTGGTTTGGTGGTTGCTGCCAGCGGTCTTGTTTCCATAGTCACCGGAACTCTCGGTGTCGGTCTGGTAGAGGTCATCTGTGTGATTGCAGTTGTAGTTGTTTCACCAGATGTAGATGTAACAGTTGAAACAAGACGTTCGGTGACCTTGTCAGTGGAAGTTGTTTTTCTTGATGTTGAAGAAGTCATGTCAGGTAGAGAGACAGATAAGATTGGTGGGATTGTGTCTCTTGTAAATTCCGGTCGGCCCGTTACTGTGTGTGTTGTCACAGTGACGGGTTGGACTGTAACAGGTCTGACGGTGGTGGTGACAGTGGCAGCTCTTGTAGGTCCTGTGGTGAGAGACGTATCAGGAACATCGGGTCTTGGGGGGCGCACTGTTGTAACCTGTGTCTTGGTCGTAAATTCACCAGTAGACACCCTATGAGATGTAGTCTGAGCAGTCATGGCTGTGAATGCAGCTAGTGCAGCAGAGGTGATGACTGGCCTTGACACTGGAAGCCGAGGCAGTTCAGTTGTTTTAGTCGAACTGACCATGTCTCCAACAGTCTGAGAGGTGCGCTGTGGTGTTGTCTTTGTTGTAGGACTGTACAACTGGCTGGAAGAGGTGAAGAAATGGGGAGGACGCCATGGCCGTGAGGACTGTGTGGTGGTGCTTGGTGATAGTGGGGGAACAACCGTTTCCTTGGGGATAAGTGGTGGTACAGTTGATTTTGCTGATAAAATTGGGCTAGTGGCTACAGTGGTGGCTACAGTTATTTTTGGAGGTCTTGAAGTTGTAGACTGAGTGGAAGTAGACCCAGAAATTGTGGTTGTACGCTGAGGGGGTGGCTCAGTCGTTGATAAGGTGGCAGCAGTCGCTTTGGACACAGGAGATTCAAGTGTGGTTGTTGTCTTTGGTGTTGCTTGCCGGTCTGAGGTAGACGAAGGAGGACTGGGCACAGTTGAAGTCAGCATGACTTGGACTGGCAATGATGTTGGTATCTCAGGAGCAGCTGGGGTGGTTAAAAATACCTTCACAGTGGTAAGCTTAGAAACGGGAGGAGCCATTGTCTTGGGACTAAGGAACTGTGTTGTTGTGCTGGTTGTAAAGGGTTCAACAGGAGTGACTGCATCTGTGGTTGTCGCTGAAGTGACTGTTGCCCTAGACACGGTTGCTGTTTTGACAGGAGGTGTGGTAAGCAGTGAGGAAGTGGTTGAAGAGGCAGTGCTTTGTAAATCAGGAGCGATGGTTGCAATTGGAGACCTTGGGGGAGTTCTCCCCAATGTCAAAGGTTTTGTGCTCATAGATTCTGTGGATGTAGTGTCAGTAGATCTGGGCATGGTAGTCCGTTCAGTCACTATAGAACTCTCTGAAGCTGGGGGAGTTTGAGAAGTGGTTCCAAATGGGAATACCACAAATGAATGTGTCGTCTCTGTGGACTCCTTGGTGGCAAGCGGAAAAGTGGATGATGGCCCCTCAGTAGAACTTGTAGTTACTGCTGTAGTGGGTGTGGATTTTGGGGTGAAGCGTGGCCGGAGGGCATCAGTGGGCCTGGTGGAGGAAGTTTGCCGGAAAAGAGAAGTGATTGCAAAGGGAGTTGTGCTCAAACTGAAGGTGCTGGATCCAAAGGGACTCATGGTAGCACTCTCAGCAGTGGTACGGGCTTCGGTCATTTTTAGAGTCGACGGAGGTTCTTCCAACTCAGGCCTTACAGTGGGGGGCAAAGGCAAAAGAGGTGCTGGTGTTTTGGAAGGTTCAGGAATTGCAGGAGGCGAGGGGAGGCTTGGTCTGCTTGACTCATCAGAAATTGGAGCAGATGTTGCTGTGCTCAGAGCGGGAACTGTGAATTTTGGGGTAGGAGTAGACTGAGAAGGGGCAGATGGGACAATAGTTGTCTTGAGTAACGCAGTGGCTGTTGTGGAGGACGTAGTCGCAAGTGGCAAAATAACTGGGGCTTTTATACCTAAACCCAAAGCCATGAACAGCATGTAAGTGGAGAACAGACATTGATATATTGTATTCAGACTAAGTTATATCGCTGATAGCTCCTGTTCATTTCATAGTGCTATGCGTTTATAAATCAAATTGTGAATATATGCAGTTTGACCACTTAATTTAGCAATGGCGTCAAGTAATTCACAAAACACACCAGTGTCATCAATAATTGTTTCTACTCACAGTCTTCGACAAAGACACAACGACGAGTTACTTCATCCAGGACCATTTGTGGGGGGCAAACAGGAAGACAGCCCTCGACTCTGCACAGATCAATACAGCAAACCAATGTTACGAAAAACAGGTCCAGACTTAATTATCTATGGTGGCATTTTCTACAAAAATTGCGATGATGATGAGCTGAGTGAGCTCAGTCCCTGCGCCATGAGGAATAAGTACGATGCTCAGTGTTCATGTAAGGAATATGTTAAGAAAATTCTAAGTCCATCCATCCATTTTCTTTTCCACTTATCTTCTTCAGGATGACCTTCAGATTATCCCCGTTGACTTGGGCAAAAGGGGTGGTAAACCCTGCACTGGTCAGCATCCAAAACTATTCATACTCATATTCACACCGATGGAAAATTTCAAGTCTTCTATGAAAGATGTATTCTCTTATTTTTTATTTTTTTTTGAGGTAGAGTACCTAGAGAAATCCCATGCAGTGTTAGGCAGACATGCTAAGACAAGTTGCCTGCTGAGATTTAAGTAACAAAAGTATTCTTTATAAGTACGACTGTCAGCGTGAATGAAAAAGTTCAAGTCTCACTGTGGGATGGCCACACAGGCTTCTGCTGATGGGTCGCTGCAGGTCTTGAAACAGGGGCTGCTGCAGGAGTCATATCTCCACTGGCACTGGGGATGAGGGAGGGCATCTGAGCCAGAGCCTCATGAAAAACACAAAACAAGCACTTTTAGAATTGTGACAATAGATTTTTTGTGTCCTGGTGCTTTGTAGAGATTTGAATGAAAAAGCCACCAATCTCAGTATCCAAAGTGGTGTCGGTGACAAGCACTCAGATTGGCTAATAGCCAGCAAATGCAAATCGGCTCATGAGATACAAGTCAGGTTTATGGCAAAGAAAAAAAAAACATTAAACAAAAACCATTGTTGGTTCTGGACAGATCCATCACCAGAGCTCAGTCTTTAGGGGGCCACATGAAATGCATAGGGGGGCCCCAATTATTCAGACCCTATGAACAACTGCATGTGTGCGTGCATGTGTGGCTTACTTGCAACTGTGCAAACACACATACGCATTTCGAACACTAATTTGCAGCATGATGTTGCACATTGGAGTCCCATCAATCGACCAAAATGCCATTGCTTTTTTTGTTTTTTTGGGCGGGGGGTGTATTTTTAATGTCTGGGTGACAAACAACTCAACAGTAGCATATCTTAACCCAAAAATAGAAATTATGATTTTAGGGGAGTTCTGCTACTTGTTCACTGATTCAGGTAAATGAGCTCACATCACAGCAGTGTGTTGGTCAAATACCACGTGAGGCCAACTCAAAATGATTCCCAACAAATACACGGGGCAAGTGTTTGTCTTTCCTTACTCTTCTCCATTTTTTCCTCATCCAATTCACTTCTATCCTCATACAACACTGGTACACTATTGTGGGCTATGAGTATTTGGTTATGGAGGTGTTTACTGTATGTCACTTTCCTAAAGAAAGACCTAAAATAAGCCAATCAATGTGTGTACTCCATGAAGGTTAAGACACTTTCACTTGACAAACCATATTAAATGCTTGGGCATGGTTAGAATAGCAACATTTAAGCAGCAATTTCTGTTGTTTTATATTTGTTATTTTATATAAAATGTTCTCTTCTCCAAAGCCCTTTGTTGCAGCTACAGCTGTTGTGAAAGCGCTATATTAATAAAGATGTATTGTATTGTATAAAACATTTACTGAAAGGTGGAGTAAAAACAGGCACAAACCTGACTACGCAAACAAACAAATGTGGAAGCTAATCTACTAACTGGGTGCAACCAGGATTGCGTCTGTCAAACAGGCGGAATTACAGTGCAGTCATTTTCCGCATTGTGGGAGAAGTACTGTGTATGCAAAGTGAATAATTTATGAGGCCAATGTGATTTATCAACCTTGACACCAACCTGCACTGACTTATTTTGTACTGTGAAGTACAGCGCAAGGCAGGTGCAAACCAGCATGCAAAGCGATGCCAGCTTTGCGGAGGCAAAATGGGAGGCAGCGGACAGAACTTTTCCGCTCGATAAACATTTTATAAATGCCAACAAAAATCGTCATGAGACATCATCTTGTGCAGTTTTGGAGCTTCTGAATGATCGAAGCGAGGACTTGAAGCCAGTCACAAGAGGTCGTCAGGCCAGATCAACTAGGATGAAACTCACTTGCATTTCCACGTGTATGGGTCATTTCTAGCATACTATGACAATTGGTGCTGGCCTCTCCCATTTTTTCTGCTGTCCCATGTTTTCAGTGCAATGTTATGCAGGATGGGCACAGACCTGCAAATCCAATTGCCTCTCACCCTAGGCAATCACATCAAACAAAACATACCTTTAACATTACTGCTGGGTTAACCAAACTTATTAGAGCAAAGGATTTATGTTCTGTTTGTTTGCCTCTTACGCCAACTCTTCCAATTCTATCGCTTCGAAGTGAATTTTGTACTTACTACTGCTCTCCCAAATATTCCACGGTGATAACCATCAGTACAGTACAATCTAGAGGGCAAAACTCTCATTTAAATACAGGATTTGATCTGTCAGGATGTTCCGGGTGCAAAAACCATCTCCAAGAGACGAAAAGCTAGACTGCAGGTCTCCTCGTGTGCAATTCCCTAATAAATTGGCCTTAGGAATGCAAAAGGCTCAGCCATCTGAGGAGAATTTCTTGGTTGTCTGAAGTGCTACTTGAACTCACCACCAAAAAAAAGTGAATGTTGTTTCCTTGGAACATTTCAACTTTTAAATGTGTCTCAATCTCGGCGTAATTGCAGCCCTTTTTACACTTGTTGCCAACAGCACGTGCAATCTCTTCGAGTGAGTAAACAAGCAATTTAGCAAGCGCTATTTAGGATCTTAATAAAAGACCCAAATGTTCATAAAATCACACGAAGCACACCCAGCAACAGCCCACGCAATCAGTTTGAGTGACAATTGCAATTGGCCCTTACTTTTAATTCCACTTCACAGGGACACAAAGTAACATTTTTTCCAAGACTTTCCGAAAAGCACTGTAAACAGGAGACTAAAAAAAGAGGGAAAATTGTCATTTTCCTATTTTAGATGAGGCTTATCATTTGTAAACAGTATTATGGTGGTTTAAAGACAAGTTTTGGCAGCAGAAAGACAAAATATCGCAGACAATCACGATCCTATTATGTAAATGGGTATGAAATCTTAAATGGACAAAAATCTTGACAATATAGAAGGTGTCATATCCACAAGTATGACTAATGTAAAAAAAATATAACAATTGTAATGCTGTTTCATTTCTATATGCAGTAAAACTAAGACTTGGTCCTTTACAACGGGACAGATGCTGCTCCTTTTTTTAGCTGCAATAACAATATATCCACAAGTGTTGACTTTTGACCCCAAGGAGGAGCACTGACACCATTTGAACTCTGTGTCAAGACCTCACGGACAGCTGAGTGAAGCCTGAGAAACCCACTTAGGGAAATCGTTTATCATGCGACCTGTCATACGACGACTGCAATATCAGCTTCACGTTCATTTCGTCTCAGAAATTAGCTTATGACAGGTAAGCCTGCTGAGATTACAAAAAATAAATAAATAAATACAATTTGGGATTAATGCCACTCCTGTTATTTCTTGTACCCTAGGGCCATTACATTTTACTTACCGGTACTTTCATTTCCTCACATTGTTCCATCAGTTGCGGTGTTATTCAACTTAATGTGAAGTCCTGTAGCGAGTCGGTGAGTAATACCTGCGAGTTTGAAAAGAGTGGCCTTGCGGAAGCTGTCAGTGTGACGATATTTGAGCAGGTGGAGGCGAGGGAGGGTGGCATGTAAGAAGAATCCAGGCTTTGCGTGGGACTCCAGGGAGTCATACCCTGAGAGCCAGGTGTCCCTGTGGAGCACAAAGGTGGCTCCATCCCAGAAAGCCTCACTTTGCTCCCACTTGACCAGCTTCACCTGGCCACTGGGGCTCACAAACAGAAAGTGATTGGGCCTGTGTGCTGCCTCAAAGGATATCCGTGATGTATCTGGGAGAAGGGAAAAAAATGTGAGAAATCTCATGGATCAGTTTCCGGAGCTTTTTGTGAAGAGACAGCAATTCACACTCAAATTTAAGAATCGCAGATGAACGTGAATGTTTTTGGAACTGTTGGAGAAAGCTGGTGAGATCGCATTCAAGCACAGCGAGAACGTGCTAATTCCACAAAGAAAAGATCACACAACAGATTCAAACGCAAAATCTACGTGCTTGTTATAAAAATTGAGAAATGATCTCAAGAGTGAGTTCTGTTGATCCTGACCACTAATGACCAGTCGTAAAGGTGAACCCTGTTGAGTTAATAAGAGAAACACACCATGTGGTCGGGCTCTGCTCAGGCCTGGTGTCATCATAAAATGTGAGAGGGCGTCACTCAGGTTTCCTCGCTTCACAAACACTGAGCCGCTGGACCTGCTGGCAACAAGCAACGAAGTCCGATCTCTGAAGGGCAGCAACCTGAAAGGGCCTTTCCCAAGAACTGCAGAAATGATGAAGCTGTGTTACTGCAGGTTGTCGAAAAGAAATGTGTTTCATTTTGTCAATAACCACTTTGTAAGACCTGTGATTTATTCCAACAACAAAAACCAGAACGGCAGGGAGGTGAGAGAACCTGTTTTTGTAATCCGGGCACTTAGACCTCAGATATTAGACACACAAATGATAATAAATAATACATAAGCATGAACTACAGTGCCGATATAGTCTGGAAAATAATTCAAACTATGAAGGTCTCACACATTAACCCCTTAAGCTGAGGTCAAGCAACTCAAGCTATTAACTCTTGATAATGCACAGCTGTGAACTGAAGGTCATTGCAGGTCATCAGACATCCCCATCATCAAGCTGACTGAGAAAATAAGACGTGCAAAGCTGTTATATGGGCAAAAGGTGCCTACTTTGAACCCAAATAATTCCATCAGTATTTCTTCATAATAATTTACCGATAATTTACGTATCGGTATATAATCTCCAATTCAGTACATTTTATAATAATGAAAAAGCACAGAATTAGAGTGTTTCCAAAGTTTTGACTAGTAGTCTCTACTTGCATCAACATAAAGCGGAGAGGCTGCTGTACCTTTGTTGTAGAATTCACAGTCGTGTGCTGCAGAGAGAAGTAGTAAATATGAGTAAAAGACACATTGGATCATGAATACATTTTTTAGGGAAATGTAATTTAGAAAAATACACCTTCTTCTTGATAAATAGATGTAATATCCATATACTGTATTACATTCCAACTTACGGCACAGAGAGGGCGAGCGCCAATCGACAGGAATTCCTTGGTGACAGCAACGCTGGGCATACGCTGCCACACTCGTGCAAAAACATTCACAGTCCCCTCCAAGATTGCAGCCACATGTGTCTGCCAGGCAGTTCATGTAGAACCAGGTGACATCCACCTGAGGGCAATGAAAACACATCAAGTAGTCCAATCAAAGCAGCGGTTGAGAACTATTTCTTCCCAAGTGATAAACAGCAGCTGGTGAACGTTTGATACGTAACAGCAGTTTTGCACAAACATTTGTTGTGACTATTCATGTTGAATTTTATGTGTGGGAAGCATGGTGGCCTAGTAGTTAGGCTTGTAGCTCTGGGGTTCAGGGTTTGAACCTTATCTCTGGGCTTCTGGCAATTGCAAGCTCTCCTTGTGGTTGTGTGGATACTTTATGGCAGTGGTGTCAAACATACGGCCCGTGGGCCGGAACCGGCCCCCAAGGAGTTTCGATCTGACCAACGGGATAAGTTAAAAGTGGAAAAAAAAATGCATTAAAGACACAGAATGAATATTTTAAATAAAACGCAATTCGTGGATTATCCGCTAGGGGGCATACTGTTTTGATCACAGTAGAAGACAACATTGTTTTGATCAGGGAAGAAAACAGCAGTCTCAGTCTGTCACTGAGATAGACCCAAATGATATGAAAAGCGCCAATCAATGCTTCTTGAGATGAAAACAAAGGAAAGAGATGATATTTTGGTGATTCATAGCACAGTATGGTATAATGTTAATGGTTCGGCCCACTTGACATCTACCGAGTCCGTATGTGGCCCACAATGTGAAATGAGTTTGACACCCCTGCTCTATGGGCTTCCTCCCGCATTCCACAAACATGGATCTTGGTTTATTTGAAGACTAAATGTTATATGTGTGTATATTAGAGTGTTAATAGTTGCTTAGGTAATATGTGCCGTGTGACTGACTGGGGACATATCTCATATTTACCGTTCAGAATTCGCAGATAGTTGCTGATTTTTTTGTGAGGAACCTATGCGCTGTTATTCTCGCACGTGTTTTCTGTTTGTGATATTATTACTTCGGTGCCATCTTGTGGCATGTTGGTGCCAAAGAACTATGTTGAAGTGCTTCATTTTGGTAAAGTTGTGCTTTCTTGCCAACTAGTGGCATCTTGTTGTCAAGGAACTATGCAGAAGTCAATTGAGAAGCTTCATTTCGACAAAAGTAGTGCTTTAGCACTATCTTGTTGCGTCTTGGGGTCAAGAAACAAAGAAATGTTCAGGTGAATTGAGGAGCTTCATTTCGACAAAAGTAATGCTTTGTCACCATCTTGTGGCAACTATCGACAATTCGAAACGTCTTTTTCGAGGCACCAGTTATTCCCATCAGTTGCGCCACTACTTACCACTGGGTGGCAGGCCTGGAAGACTTCACTGAGCAGAACAGCACACTGCTGCTTGGCAAATGGCTCTTTGAGTGGAGTTAGAGTGCATGGGTGTCTCATATCTGGACCATTCACACACTCAACACAAATTAACAAGAAATGGTGAAGCAACATCTGGTGATGATCATGGTACCAGATATTTGGACCGTAATAATGTCCTGTCAAACTGCCCTCATAAGGTAGTAAAATGCATCACAATGACAATATGTGCTTGACTCACCTCAACTGCCGTCCAACTGTTACCAAACTCTTGTGGACTTGTTGTGTCAATGTTGTCGGGTGTGCGCATCTCATTCACTGTCTTCAAGTCAAAGTTTCCACAGAGACCACTCAGCTTCCCCTTCACACATCATCAAAATTGAGAAGAATTAACCTTTGTTTGGACATCGAGAGCTTCATCATGATTGGCTAAATCAACGGTGTCTAAACTAGTCTAGTCGGGTGAAATACAGGGTTATTGGCCACCCCAAAATCTTGAAAAATCCTGAAGTATTTGCCTTATCGCATTTGACAGAAAGCTGTTATGTTGACGTTTATTGGTTTTATATTGGAATGTGCCACATACCTGCCAATGAGGTCCAACCTGGATGTGGATGGTGGTTTTACGGTCCCATAGAATGGTGATGTCCTCCTCTGGGAAATGAATCACAGTGAAGTAGCCGGCAGGCCAGATGATCATCTTCTGATTCCTTCCAAGGACACTAGTTGGGTTCTATAATACATATTGTACAATATAAATAAATTCATGAATTAATCATTCAATCTACGCAACCAGCTCAAAAGATATTGTATTTGGGGCATTGCAGGACAGTGGTTAAAAAGTTAATAGCCCAGTATCATAATAATAATATTAATAACAATAATTCTTTTGGAGTCCACAAGGGGTCCATGCTCGGCCTACAACTTTTTAATTTTAATATCAATGACATCTTTATTGTATGCTAAGCACGAAAATTCCTTCTTTTTGCAGATGACACCAATATTTATGTCTGTGTGTGGTCTGTCAAGTGTAAATGTGTGCTTGTTCATTCCTTACCATTGTTATTGTCTATTACCATTGTTGGTATGTGTTGTCTTTACCATTGCTGGTATTGTTTACCTTCCACTACTGTACTTTACTCTTGGTGCAATGAAATATTTATCTGCTCTGTTATTTGTTTATGGTAACACCACCAGTCCTTGGTATATATATTTTTTTGCTAATGTAATATTCAATGCTCTCTGGGTACTTATTCCATGTGTACCATGTCATTTACTCGCTGCACACCTGTGGACAATGCTGCAATTAATATGTACTTCTACCTTGTCCGCATGAAGATGACAGTGCTGTTTTTCATCTGGTGTCTCAGAGGCCTAATTTACGAGCGTGGACTCCGCTCGCATTATGGACATAACGTCCACAACGTCGGCGCCGGGAATGGCAGAGGGGTTGTGAGAAAACAGATCCTACCTCCAAGCTCATCTCCCACTTCTTGCTTGCGAAAAATACTCAGCACGGCATTTGTTTTTAATTTCACCTGAATGAAATGTCTCCTTTCCAACTGTACATCACTCCTTCTCTCTGAAACGTTATCTCCACACACTCATGTGCCTGTCTGTTCTTGTGGGCATATGAGGGCTCGACAAAACATGCGCATTGTTTGCTGTTTCTGATCGACAACTTGCAAATTTGACTTACAGGCTGCCCAGTGTCATCATCAAAAGTTAGGAAGGATCTTCCAATGTTGATCAATAGTGATTTCCTGCAGATTATGCCATTGCCAAAACAATCAATGTTTTCTGCTGTCACACTGAGAATCAAATCAGCACTACTCTGCAGGAGAAAAAAAAAAAACACAGTAAAGACAAACACTGTCAACGTCTGAACAGATGATGTTTGAAATGCGCACCATTCATATTCATACATGAATACTGTCTGTGAAATAAAGTGGTCAGTTCAGTGGTCTCACAATGTAAGACTGGCTGAACAAGACAGTTAAAGAACAAAGTGCAAAATATCTGACACAATGCAACAATCATAAAATAATACAGTGCTATGATTCGATCATAATTTGGATGGAAATGATTTTGATGGGTGTATTGACAATCGCAATGCCAGACTAACATCTCAAGGAAGGGATGGGCAACTGAAATGCTGGAGGGGGCCACCATTTTTCATCAGTGCTACTGAGGGGTTACACAGGAGCACACAAATATTTATTGAAATCATGACTTTATTTCTGTGTTAGCATAGGCTCATGAAATACGATGATAAATTCAGATTTCTGTACAGATTTGGGTTACATCGCTTCAACAAAACTGAGCCGCTTGAATCATCACATTAATGGAGTTGCGTTTCCCCATAATTAGAACAAATTCCTTTCTACTTTGTTTATAGAAACAACTGTTTTTTATACTGGGTTGGCTTTCCTCGAAGAATATCACCATGACGTTTTGGAGAGACACGTTGATTAATTTAAAAAAAAAAAAGCCAAGTAGTCGATTTTTTTTAATGATGACTCAATATTGTATATTTGCATATAATTTATGCACATGTTTGTTTCAAATATTTGATTCGGTTAATTTTAAAAGCTTATTCAATTTTTTTTCGAGACCCTAAGAAACAAAGTGATGCCAGTGCTGCAGTTAAAGCCATTCGCATATTTACTTTGTGGGTGATAAATATGTAATGACTGATGCATTGAGGGATATGGTTCCCATGACCACATACATATACTGAACCAAAATCCTGAAAAAAAAAAATTGTACCTTTACAAGATATACTTGACAAGCCCCAATGTAGTCAAACAGCAGGCCATCAAAAGTTCGGTAATGACGATCTCCGTAAGTTGTGCACATGGATGGACATGGACGAAACACACACTGGAATGTCCCATGCTGGCAAACACTACAAAGACAGCAAAGTTTCAGGATGGACTTGTTGTCACTCCATTACAAAGACAGTTTGTTCACATGTATTGGCCACTCCTTTTGGAAACTGTCTAGAGCTGAATAGGGGAAATGGCTGAATCACTATTAGGCTGTCATCATCATCATCATGTTCTACCTGGATTACAAATGGGCAGAAAGAGTGAGATCACTGGGAGAGGGTTCCCTTTCACCACTGATGAACAACAGAGAGAATCAGAGTTATACAAGAACCCACTTTATTTCCCAAATCTTTTCTTCTCTGTGACAATAGAATTATGATATCAGGTGGACCCTTGCACTGCTCTACCTCAACGTTGATTTCAGGTCAATTAAACGATGATGTAGCAATGCTGTTGACGCTGTGTTTCGCTGCGTTAGATCACACAGTGGACATAAATGAGGAAATCACACCGACATTTCAAGAAATAAGTTCCATCCTACTCTCAATGATGCTGAATAGACATAAACACTCTGTGGAGACATACCACTGATGGCAGGGGGAAGACACTTTGTCACCGGGGTAATACTCTTTTCCTTTCCACAGACAAGGGCAGGCCTCAGGCTCAAAGCACTCGTCTCCATGTTTCAATAAGCTGGTGGCAAAAGGAATTGGTACAAATCGTGAGCATGAGCGCGTTCTGTGGAGTCTTCCGATTTAGTTCTAATATGCGATGAGGTGGTGACCAACAACAACCGTCAAGGAGTGACTGCATTACAGGCCTTGCATATCCATCAGTTTTGTCTTTTTGCCTGTATTTGTTTGAGCAGTGGGGTCTTCCACTTTTAGAGGGGCTAATAATTAATTGTGTGAATCCTTTAAAATAACAAGCGAGTTCTTTAGAAGGTAAACTGAATGTTCAAGTGAAAATGTCAGACAACAGTGATCGGAATGAAAAATTGTTCCCACTTACAGGTACTCTGTTTGCTAAGAACAAAATATTTCAGGTCAGGTGAGGAACGATGCCAGAAAATGAAAGGGCTGCCAAGTTGCCTGAGTGAGCACCATTGAATCAAAAGTGGTTCAATTCGCTACCTACATGAGAAATCTGGACAATGAGGATTCTCACACAGGAAGGGAGAGACAAGTCTTTTTTTTGTCTGGTCCCCTCCTCCATTCACTCCTTGCTCTGCAATGCGAAGCGGATAAGTATCTTGTAATATCAACGGCTAGCTTATATCCGAGTCTAGACAATGTCGTGACAAACTGAATGACCCCTCCTGAAACCCCCCGATGCAACTGAGTAGAGTTACACCCCAGATAAAACGCTGTTAACAGTTTTCTTTGTCCGCCAGCCAAATTGTTGTATCACTTACCCCACATCAAAGTCGCCAACATTTGTGACCGTGCCAAAAAATATGCCCACAATAGGAACAAGCAAAGAGAATCTTAATGCAACAGAGGGTGTATTAATGAATATATAAGTTGTTTGTGGAAAAATATTATATCAATATTATGTTATGTTATGTGCAATTTCTCAAATTTGTGTTGGAAGAGAAAATATTTTTATTTTTAACACCATTGCATAACAAAGACTTCTGCAGTCGCCTCACTACCGTATTTATTCATCCCGATAAGGTAAATAAACCTTATGTGTCGATATTCACAATGACAGTCGTTTGTATACTATCAATTACATGAAAAGATGGCATCCAAGTTTTTGTCATTTGAAAGGTCATCTCGGTTCACTGGACTTAATGACTCACTCAACCCAGCTAAATGACGCAGAGTCCTGAAAACCAGGAGCTGTTTGTGCACCTGGCTAACCTTTTCTCTTTGCAATGACGTTAGGAAAAACACTGTTGTGCTTCATGGTTTCATGATGATGAAGGGGGACATTTGGCATTGAGAAATTTGATCACATGGATCCACGAAAAATGTTGTTTTAGTGATTATTTTGGATGAATGACCTACTGCTTTATGGGAAAGCTGTTACAAATACTGGATATGGATCTTCACTTCAAAGGGACAATTTTAAATTGTGGCCACAATACACTGCATAACATCAAGAAAAACTGCAGATTTCTGGTCACAAAGTACAAATTTATGGCCACGATAGAGGTATAATGCAAACATGAAATACTAGTTCGTTGTCACAAAGTAGTTATAATGTTCACACTAAAAAAACAATTTTGTGCACATATCAATTTTAGGGCAAGTACAAAAAAAAAGAATGTTCCCCATATATGTGGGGCTCCATATGTCTCCAAGATTTTGAAAAAAATAAAATGTGGTTCTCAAACCAGCTCCCTGTGCCATATTGATGATGTAACTACTGTATTAGTATTTTCAAGCTGTGGAGAGACAAATTAAGATGTTTGGGGGTTTTTTGGCCATCTGGAAATTTTAGATGCAGTTTCCAAATGCTTCCAAAGGTCTGCTAATAGAGCAACATTTGATTTACCGGTATGTAAAAATTCTATGACCGAGCGCAAAACAATCTCTGCCAGTCAACCCTGTAATCTGTGCAAAGGGGTCATTAACTTGTATACATTTCTTTAACCCCGCCAGTGTGCACTGTTATCTTGATGACTTTTTGCTTGGTCTCACAGAACAAAATTACTTAACCCTCTTTTTGGGCATGTAGCCAGTTTGGATTAAAGGGATCAAATAACTATGCTCATGGGGAGGTCCTCGTTGGAATACTGCGATGACGTTAGGTTCAAAGATTTGAAATTAGTTGTCTGCAGTAAGAGTTAGCGTCTATCCTCCTTTTCCTCCATCTCCACATCCAAAACCAACAAGATGCACACTATCAAATGTCATTTGCTCAGAATGCGCAAGGATTGTATATTGCTCATTCTGCGTTATAATCACGGACATGTCTGACTCAGGGCGGGAGTTTGCATGTTCTCCCCAGGCCTGCGTGGGTTTTCTCCAGGTACTCCGGTTTCCTCCCACATTCCAAAAACATGCATGGCAGGCTGATTGAACACTCTAAATTGTCCCTAGGTGTGAGTGTGAGCGTGGATGGTTGTTCGTCTCTGTGTGCCCTGCGATTGGCTGGCAACCAGTTCAGGGTGTCCCCCACCTATTACCCGAAGACAGCTGGGATAGGCTCCAGCACCCCTCTCCAACACCCACCTTGTGAGGATAAGAGGATCAGGAAATGGATGGATGGATGTCCGACTCACCCCGAAGGGCAGGTACAGCCACTGGCACATGGCTCATGTGCTGAGCAGGTCAGGTTGAGGAGGTAAGATTCACAAGTGCGCTCACAGGCCACACCTCGTCCTGGAAGGAGGCCATTCTCTCCATCAGAGCAGTTGTGGTAAAACTGACTCACAGGGCATAAGCTGTCTGCAAGAACAGAACAAATCACACGTCGCGTAAAGAAGACCAATCATTCCGTAACATATTTTGCACCCCAAAAAACGTTAATTGGACTCTGCAGTGATGAGATGAATGAGATCCAAAACTGTATTTTTAAATGTAAACCCTTTTATAGAGTCAAAAAGGCACAATTTGTTTTCAATTTGAACTTACCCCCGTCTGTTGTTTGTGACACAAATATACCATCCAGACACAACCTAGAAATACAACAGAAAAGCTCAAATGATAATGAACTCATGCACATTAGAAAAGAAAAACAAATTTAGCTAAACCATTACTTTCGTTTTTTTCTTTCTTCCTTCCATCTCAGAGTGGGGCTAATGAGTCAATATGTGTTTTGAACCATCCAACACTTGGTTGCTTGGAATGGAAGCTTGGATGAAGAGAGGCCTTCTAAATATGTCTCGATTGAGACTGACATGAAATGAAACCTCATTGAAACACATTGTCGAGGTCAGTGTCACATCTGACTTGCTGTAAATTGTCTACTTGTAAACCGATGTGCCGTGATTACGCTACCTCCATATGTGTTTCTCCCTTGGTCATTGTAATTACATTACAATATAGTTTGCAAGATTCAAAAAGCAAGTGTAGGAACTTGAATGTGTGTGCGTGTGTGTAACTGTATGTATGTGTGTCTGTGTGTGTGTGTGTGTGTGTGTGTGTGTGTGTGTGTGTGTGTGTGTGTGTGTGTGTGTGTGTGTGTGTGTGTGTGCTCTGTAGTGTGCAGTTCCATTTTAAACATGAAGGAGAAGCAGAGATGGAGAGGAGGGTCTTACTGAACACCTGCTGATGTCATGATCACGTCTCCTGGTTCATATTCAGCACCGAGGAAAGTGCAGGGACACTCATTCCTGCAATATCACCAGAAAAGCAGTCCGTGAATGCAAATGTGAGTTGAACAATTACCAAAAAACTTCAAAACTACAATAAAATAAATCTTGCCAAATCTCTCACAAGAATTATTTACTCGCATAAGGCACAGCAACAGTGTCACGGGCCTACTGAATAAGTTTATTGATCCGATTGGTGTCCCATGCACTGACTCCACTTGCCCAGCAAAGTATCCCCCACTCACCCATTTTTAATATGCTTATATTTAAGTTTTATATTTATTTATACAATTTTGTCTTCTACTTACTCCCTTTCATAATTTTGCTGCTGTGAATTGGGAATTTCTCCTTTGTGAGACAAAAAAGGTTTTTCTTATCTTAGCTTATCTTATCTCATCATTCTTTATTACATCTTGGAAAGGGGTCATGATCCACATACAAAATCTCAAAATGAAAGCCAGACACATGACAGTGTATCTCTCACATAATTAATATACAGTGATCCCTCGCTATTTCGCGGTTCGTTTATTGCGGCTTCAGTGCATCGCGGATTTTTTTCAAACATATTCATTAAAAAAAAAAATAATAATAATAATGGTTTTTTTTTTCATATACATGGCATATAACTAGGCTGGGTAGAGAGCGTCTTCCAGTCGGCGTGAGTGTTGCTCTCTCTGTTGTACTGCGACCTCGCCCACGGGCCCAAAAGCTGCCTGGGTGCTCTGGTCGGTCCGTACCTCCCATATCAACCCCAATTCATGCTCCAATCCCACCTACGGCCTCTCCACCCTGGGGTCAGTATGTTCCCGTAGCTTGGGGGGCCCTTGGGGTGGGCTGCACCTGGCCTGTGGGGTGGCCTTGGGGATGATCAGGAGGGGGTGACCTGGTTTTGCTGGGACACCCACCATCTACCTTATTGGGTGGTCAGGCTCTCAGGTCATTGTCCTTTTGATACACGTCACAAACGTAGTGCATACACATTAAACCAGGGAACATCAAGTCACACTTGATACCACTTAAGCCAGCTGCATGATCTAAACCAAATACTTTAGCAACCACTGCGATGCATGCGCTTGCAGAGTGGTAAACCAGAGAATTGGTGCCGCAAAACTATAGTTGTTTATAAATCTGGGGACTTCTGGGGTGGTCTCGGATACATTTAATACAAATCAGTAGACCGCTCAAGTGCTTGTCTATGATTTCTCCTGTCTTTGTTTGTTTTGCCTCACTTCTCAACGTGAATCATAACCTTTCTTTGATAAGTTTTAGCCTCAAACCAAAATAAAAGTGCTCAATTTTCTGTTCTGTTTGTTTTATAGGTTCGCTAACACATAAATGAAACTTGCCGGTTGCAAGACAAACATGCATGTTGCGCATCTACGTCTCGAATACATGGTGCTTACCAGCCACACAGTATATAAACATGCAGACAAAAAGTAGAAATGTTAGTCCATCTCGATGGATTTTTGCTTTCATAAAATGTTTACTATGAAATGTTTACAAAGTAATCTAAAATTAAAGTCAATCTCTTCGATGGTAAATGGCAAGTCTTTGTGACATATGGTCCACACATTGGCCTCTGTCTTACAAGTTCTCTCTCACTCGTTATCAGATATCTGTGTTGTCCCGAGCCTAAGTGGGACTGAAAAGGGGGTTTCACGCTCACTTCCTTGAAGTAACTCTATCACAGAGTAAGTAATGCTGCATAGGGATGTAAAATCGTGGGACAGTTACGAGCAAGTAAGCTGTATGTCTCCCATGGCAAAGCAGCCTGAAAGGGAGCGCCCAATGACTGAACTCTCAAAAAGTCCTGTTTCAGTCCAGCTCAACAGTTTGGTATGGTACGGTAAGAATGTAACAAGGGCCATCCTGCCATTGGCGTCATACCACTGGTGGATGAGGGTGTTCAACATTACACATACTTTTCCTGCTATTATTGCACACCCCACCCCGGAGCCCGCCTGACCTGTGCACGCAGGCGTGTGTTCGCTGGTCGTAGAATAATCCCAGTGGGCAGACGCAGCCTTCTTCGCACTCCCTCCCACAGTGCTGCGAAGACGAGAGGGCTGAGCAGCGGCGTTGGCACGATGACACACACATACCATACTGCATGGTGGTGGGGCAGGTGACCGCTGCAATCAGTGAGGCAGACAACATCGGCACAAAGTTTGAATTTGAGGGTTTTTTTTTGTAGATTATTCAGAAAAGCGCTATTGGGTGTTTGTTCTGTAAGTTTTCAAAAAATGTACAACACAGTGCCTCTAAATACGATGTTAGGAGTAAACTGCACAACACTGTCTTTGCAAGATAGAACATGAATGTGTCCAAATCTTACCACAATCATCTATACGTGATCGGAAATCAATGAGGATGGAGAATCTGCGGCAGTGGCGAGCATAGTGAGCCAGAGCAGAGCAAAAGCAAGCTGTTCCGCATTTGCAGGTATCTGAGCGGCACTGCTGGTGAAATGGCACTGGACTGAGGTACTCATGGCAGGGGGAGAAAAGATCCTGGTTCAGAACATCACACATCTCGGATGCATAGGCCACTGAACAAAAACAAAGAAGAAAGGGGGTGAAAGAATGTGAGTTCAACTGCCCGTACAATCTGACTGCATCGGATAAAACTACTTTACAGTACATGCGCTGAGTATTTGGACTTACTGTGATGAAGTAATATTTATCACAAATTTAAAATTGATAAAAAAATATTTCTCTGAATGATTTAAATGAAGAGGATGAATTTAAAAACATTGCGAGGCACAGGTAATATAAAGACGATGTAGAAAAATGACAACATAAGAAACAAAAGGACGCAACTAACCGGCTTGTTGGTGTGTGTCGCAAGGGTCAAGCTGAGGAGGGATCAAGCTGAGTGTACAAGCTGACGAGACCTTCCAAGCATTTCCAAACAGTAAAGGAGTGCTTTCTATCATCCCAGAAGGGGACCTGAAGGAGGAGAAGATTACATGAATACCCTAGGTCAGGAGCGGATGACTATAAGTCAAAGTGATGATGATCATTTACTCCAAAAAATGTTATGCTGCTAAGAATTACATCCTAATGCCTTCCAATTTTTCAAAAAATAGAAACATGAGTGCTGCCAGCACTGTGGAGTTGGAGCTCATTGATAGAACCATGAATGCCGACAACTATTGTGACATTGTCAAGCAGAGCATGAAACCCTCCCTTCAGAAACTGGACCACAGTCCAGTATTCCTACATATATATATATATATATATAGGAGCTCATTGATAGAACCATGAATGCCGACAACTATTGTGACATTGTCAAGCAGAGCATGAAACCCTCCCTTCAGAAACTGGACCACAGTCCAGTATTCCTACATATATATA